GAAGAAGCCCTAATCTCATACCACATAGAATACTGTGCAACAGACTGTGGAAGGGAGAAAGGTGTTATTCCTTAAGTAGTATTAGGGAGGCTGGCTATAAAAATCACTTTTCATCATGCCCTTATCTGGGCACAGGGAAATTAATAACAGAAATTTTCACTGCAACTTCTCCCTCTCTCCTTCTCTGCTCCCCTTCCTTAGGAAACAGCAGTAGTTTTGTGTATACATTTCAGTATCCAAAAGCGTGTCAGATTTTTCTGGTTTATCTCTTTCTCAGCATAGCTCATGGAAACTCATTTTCATACAACTATGTTGTCTCATGTTATATGCCATCATAAAAACCAATTTGAAAAAGCTGTAATGTGGTTAAAGTAACTAATCTTCATTCATTCTGAAGACCTTTTTCCTGCTAGTTTTTAAAGACTAATTGCAATGTCTGATGTTGCACTTCTTGTGAGGCTGAACTTCTGTCCCAGGCAGATTCTTTTAACTGGACTTTGTACAGATTTATAATTATATTCATAATTTGGGATCCTAGAATGCACCATTTGCTTAAAGAATATGAATTTGACTTTCAGATCTTTTAATTTAGAGCATCTGTTGTTGAAGGAGCTGGAAGTTTATTTACTCACTAAGTAAAAATTCTCAACAGGTAATGTTTATAACAGTATCTTGCTGTTCAGAATAACAAAGTACCAGAAAACAAAAATCAAATGCTAAGGTTAGCCACAAGATAAACTAACCAGTGACATGCTCTATTGTGAGCTGAAGCTCTGTCAGATTGTCAGGAGGAATTAGTTCTTAAGCAAGCTATTTATAGGAACATAAGACTGGAAGGCACCACCAGGGTCACAGAGTCACTGTAATAGAAGAGAATTTGTTAAATAACATTTCTCCATGATCCTATGAAAATTTTCCCCCTAGCTTCTCTGAAGCTCCCTGCTGGCCCTTTTTTATTTGTAAAGCTGGAATTCAGCATTCTGTGACCATAGGATCAAGATTTACTGACCAGACATTGAAGCAATTTAATACCTCTAGGTGCATTGGTTCACCCTGACCTACATTCTACTTGTTTGTGACTGACAGAGCAAAGAAAGGTGAATACTCATTCGTCCTTTCTGAAAATCAAGAAACATATCAGAAAGAATAAAAATCTTTTCTGGATGTTGCAGCTAACCAAGAAATCCTTTGCAGTAGGATAAATACAACTACAGCACAGGTACACATTTGAGAACTGAGAGCAAGGGCTGCTCTGTTGCCCTTATCTCCTGTAATGGGCCTTTCAAGACTTTCAAGCAGCTGGTGTCCAGATAATTTAAAGATTCACAGGCAGAATTGCATACAGAAGTGATGAGGAGTCTATTGCAAAGGCTTGAGCAACTGAGGTCTGTGGTGATTCATTCTTCTCACAAGGCAGGCAGCTGTTTTCAGCAGAATCTGCAGCTTTTGGGTAGCCTTACGGGGCTGCTATCCTTCCTCCTGAGAAGTTATTAAAGTCAGTGGAATTACATACAGGATGAACTTGGCTCTTTAGGTGTGGGAGAAATCATTTCCAGTACTGACATATGGATATTAGCACTTCTTTATGCAAGGCTTACAGACAGGCTTTAGAAATGTTTACAAGGTGGGAAGGACAATGAAAGAACATGTAAAATCATTTCACCCTGATTCATCTTTGGAAGGAACTTTGTATGCAGATCACTCTCCAGTTGGCTGTGTCTGCCAGAACCCTTACTTCCAGTCCTGAACCTCAAAGCCCTCCTACACCAAGGAATTTGGGCTCTGTCCAACAGAGGGCTGGAAAGAATGTACACATTTCCCTCTACACTTACACATGCTTCTCATCTTGGGGACTAAAGATATCTCTGCTGAAAAGTGCATGTGAACCAAGTAAGAAGTTCTGAAGAACTGGTATGAAGCAGGGCTCCACCAAATCCTCCCATCATTCATACATGCTGCTGGCATTGCCCTGAGTCTAGGAACCAAAGCCCTCCTTTCTTTCCTGGCAGTCAAAGGATGGTAACTGTACCCCACGTGCAGAGGATCTTTAAGGATACCGAGTAATTTGTCCTCATCAGTCACTGTGCCTCTAGCCAGGGAGATAATACATCTTCCGAGTCTTTTAATCTAAATTAAAAGAATAAACTGAACCATGTGCTGTATTTTTATACCCAGTGGGCCAACTGCCTTTCAAGCTGTGGAATTTGAAGAGTGAGAGCAGAGTTACACAGCTAGTTGAACCAACACCTTTCTTTCATGGATACAACAGCACAAACAATCCATTAATTGGACAATGGCCACTAGAGAAGCTGACCATAACACAATGCTGCTCCCTAGGTACACCTCCTTTAACACCTATTTGCTTCTTTTGCCATGGGTTCTCTTCATTCCAGAAAGCTGCTGTAGTGGTGAGGAGGTGTTACCTAAACTTAGTTTAGCTTTGACATAAAGGTGCAAACAATTTCATTTCACATCACAGCAAAATTTCGCCATATACACTCAGAATTTTGTCACAATTAGTGTGTGAGGCATAGAAACATCTGGATGTATGGGAATAATTGCAAACTGGTGTTCTGTCCTGCATTCATATTTTTCTGCTGCTACTTGAGTTAATAATTTCTTGCATGCATCTTCAGATACTGATGCTTATATGCATTTTCAGAAGAGAAGGGTAAGTGCTTGGTTTGAATCTTAGAAATTAAATAACAGGATTGAAACCAGCATGAAAGTGTTTAATTTAATTGAACATATGCCTAAATATATCACAGAAACTGTGTAATGATAAGTGGCATTTCTGAAATGGCAGCGAGGAGCTTGTGATCTGAGTGATCACCTGTGAGTTAGAGCTCAAGGTTTTATGTATGTCTTGTTTTGCCACTGACACTTGGATAAACTTGGTTACATCATTAGCCTCTTTTTACTCAAATTGTCCCTTAAATGACACTAATCATTACAGTCTTCACATGGTTCCTTCTTGAAACTTAATTCATTAATGTACACAAAATACAGTGAGACAGACAAAACGTACTAAGTATGTGAGAGGTGTGTGAAAACTGTACACTGGCTGCTGCACCATGGCGATTCTGCAGGGAACTTTTAACAAAGAAACAAACTCCTATTTTGATCACATGCTATTTTGATTCCAAAGACAATCCCAAGGCCAATTCAGGTAAGAGCAAACCTCAGGTTTATTTACATTTATATACAGTCACTTACATATAGATAAATGCGTAGGAAGTAACAGTGGTCAGTATGATTATGCTAACAATCCCCATTAAGAGAGGAAGATGAGAAGGGACAGAACAGTGTTTGGCAGTACAAAAATGCTCACTCATGACTTCTGTTTCCTTCTGAAACAGTTCATCAGTGTAAAAACTTCACCCTTGCAATTCAACCAAGGTCATTGAGACACTGTGATGTGCTGAGCAAGATCAACAGTGCTTGAGGCAGCTTTACTTTATGAGTAAAATATGTAAAAATCTAATGTAACTTGCTCCGCTGCCTTTAAGCTGGTAGGACATGGAGGCTAATCAGATAGCTCCTTTTTGTTTTCTTTCTCCCTGCTTCCCTGTGTTCCCTACACTCTTTCCCACTTCCGTCCTAGTGGAGGCCTCTTCATGAAAACAGAAAGTTTTTTGAAGACACTAAAAATTCTGAAGAGGAATTTCATCAATCTAATCTTAATTAAGAATAAGCAAACCTTTGAGATGCATACAGTGTAAATAGCAGCAAAAATGTAATACTCACTTTACACTAACAGCAGCAGAAGTTGGAACCCAGAAGAGGGTTCTTGCAGATGGCAGCGATGGCAACCTAGAATTCCCCCTGAATATACTTACACATTTTCATAGTTAGAACCGCTTGTTCTATCTTGATAGTCTCAAGTTCTAAGGCTCCTTTCTTGGAGATATTGTATATCCACTTTCAAGCAGTGTGTAGGGACTATGGAATTTTGTTCAGCTTGATATGAAGAACCTGTGTGGCATTTCTTATTTTCTGTTGTTGGCTATTTTTTTACCTCCAGATGTTCAGCTGTCTATGAGAGTACTCAAGGAAGCACAGTTATGCTGTATTCCAACACTGAATCAGTTTAATTGAAAAAATAATGTGATATGTACAATAAGGAAATTTGAAATTAACATCCTAGCTATTCATAGTTAAATACGAGGGTTTTCCTTTCTAATAGGATGTAACAGAGTGTTACTAAGTGATTTTAGGTGATATAAAAAAAAAAGTGGACTTAATACTCATATGAAGGTATTGTAGGAAACCAAGCACATACCATGGAGTACCAGAGAGGACATCAGGCTGCACTGTCACCCACTGCAACCTGATTCTAGTAATTTTGTTCTTTCAGCAATGGTGAACCTCCTGATGCTCATGGAAACATGCCCTAGCAAGAGCAACCTGATCCTATGTAGTAACCTGCCATGCCTGATTGATGCTTAGGACTAGCTGGAGTTACATGGCAGTAAAACTTCTTCTGTGCTAAGCAACACCTATGCACATACAGACACAGTGGAAGCTTATTGCAAAGCTCCTAGGACTACTGCCACTGCCTTTGTTGTTCTACTTACATAGCACAGAACTATAGCAATAAATACCCAGATAGGACAGATGTAAATTCGATGGATGAAGTACTGTTTTCTCTAACAATCTAGATCAAAACGTTAAATTTTCCTTTGCATTTATCACACACTCTTCTAGCACATATTGGCAATAGGTTCACTCATCCTTCTAAAAGGCTGTAAATAGTTGCCAGGTTCACAGCAGCAGGTAGATGCAAGCCTGTGCATTGGTATTATTGAAAGCAGGTCTGCTACCTGCTGCTTCTTAACCTTAAAGATATAAGCATGGAGAAGAGTCTATTCCTCCTGGTTCAGGACGTTCCTAAGCTGCAGAAAGCTGGAAGGGCCATACTGGAAGAAGTTTTATCAGGTGCTTCTCCTATTTTTCCCCAAATATACTCTATTATACACTTAGAGCGAGGCTTGGCTAAATGGCATTTTGCTCTGACTGAATAGGGCTTTGCTAAGGGGCTCTGTTTATTCTTAACTATTGCAGCAGCCTTCGGGCCTGAGTCTATAAAATGCTAACAGAGGGCAACCTCACTCCAGTAATATCAGGGCAGGCAATTAACACATGACTGTCTGCAGCTCTCAGCAGATGGCTGATACACATGCAATCTTTAGCTCTGACTGAGAGGGACCTTTCCAAGGAGACCTTATTTCTCCCTACAGCAGCAATAAATAACCTGGAAGTGCAGCTGCCAATTGGCTTTAAAGGTCAACAGAAAATCCCACCCAGGCTTCCTGCTGCCAGGCGGCTGTCAGCTGGCTTACTGCTCTGAGGTGAGCATGTCCTGCAGGATGCAAAACACCCATCAGCTGTGTTCTGGGTTTTGGCTGGAGCACTCATGTGCTTTGGTGTGAGGCCACTGATTTGCTTGTGCTTGTACAAAGAAATCTCAAGCGGTGTCCCTGCTTCAGCCTTGGCTAAGCTGTTTGGATAAGCTCCTCTAGTAACATGCTAGAGAGGTTGTCTGGGCTCAAGGAAGTCTCTTAACTGCTGGAGTACTTGTGTTATGGTATGATACAACATTTGGAGTGTTCACCAGATCAGGTAAAGGCAAGGCAATATTTCTGTGGGGCAAATTAAAAGGCCTTCTCTGTTTCTTACTTGTCTTAAAGCATAAATTTGTGTGCTGAAAATATACTTGTTTTGCTGTTGTTGATGTGTTCCTTGTATCTTTGAATTAAGATATCCTATTGAAAAAGCTTGACTTGCAGCATATTGCTCTATTTCATTAATGCCTTCAGCTCTTTCTTTTTCCTAAAGTTTGTAGAAACAGTAAATTAGGAACCAGATTGTGGCTTGTGATTTTCAGTTCTAATAGAGCCTGGTGGGCACTGTATACAGAGCTTTCTTCTGTGGCCATGGTTATTTGGTGACTGCTTCCAGGTTATGATTGTTAATAGACATTCTCAAGTTCACCAATGGTGCTTTGCTTTCTAAAGAACTATTTGTATTCCCAGAATGGCTAACAAATCCTTTTGTTTAAATAAAAACCTAGCATAAGTTTGTCACAAGTCATAAAATCTTATATTTCTATTATTAAGTGCTACATCTAACAGTGTTTCTGGTTTAGCTAACAGAAGATCAGGTTAATCTTTAATATCTGCTGTACTTTTCTTGCAGTATAGTAATATTCTCAAAATAACAATTATAATGTTATTTGACTATTAGAATATGGGAATAGCATGTGAAGAAATCGTAAAAACATTTTTCCTTTCATTTTCTTTCCCAGAAGAGTATTGGAATATTAGAAATGTAGAATTAAAATGTTAAGCTTTAATTGAAATTACACTTGATTTACTTCAGCAGTGTGGTGTGCATTAAACATAGTTCTTTAGAGAGCATTGAATTATATATTTATGAAATTAATAAATGTGTATATCCAGTGCTTGGAGTTACATGGACGATACTTGCTCACTCATTTTGAAAATAGGAGGGAAAGCAAATGGAAAAAAAGTATTTGAGATGATGGAAGACTTCTAGTCACTCAACCTTGGAACGGACTTGGTATTCTGGCTGGAGATGAAATATGTTCTCACTTCCAGCCCTGGAAGTCTCACTTTTTTTGTGGCTTTCTATAATTCTAGTACGTAAAATAAAAATTATTCTTTGAGATCTAGTGAAAGCAAGCTTGTTGGTTTTGGCTACCAGCATCTGTAATATGGTCTCTCTTTCCCATTAACACTGACTTATCCTTCTTCACATTAAATTCTACGCAGTGTTCTCCCTTTGATGCTGTAGTCTATTTTTGTGGAATGCTTTTGAACAGAAGTTTTTCAGTAGATAAGTTTACAGTCCCAAAGAGTACTCACATGCTCTGTTGTATTATTGCATGCATTTAATTTTCAGTTTCCAGCTGCATCCAAATAAAACATCTACACATTTCTCTGGCAAAATCTTCTTGCAATTCCTGAAGTAGTGTCTGGATTTATCTCTTGCCCTTATTTATTTGGGTCTTTCATAGAGGTAGGAAAGCTGTGTTTTCTTCTAAAGTTCCACCAGCTGTGGTTTTTCATGATTTGTGTGGGTTTTTTTTTTTTTACTTTTTTTTCTCTGTTCTCTGCAAAATGAACTTTACAGAATTGTTTTCTTCTAAAGCTGACATATCATCCACTCAGGCAGTTGTCCAGATTGCTTAAATATGGGAGTTTAGTTGTTCCGATGGGTAGAAATTTTATTTTGGGTTCTGTAGTGTGACAGAATAGGTGCTACCTGGATATTATATGGTTTTACTGGGGTAACTTGAGCCTTGGACTGCTCTTGCCTTTCTTAATATGTCTGTAGCCATGAGGTTTCAACAGCATGTGACTCTGGTTGGTCTGCCACATTCATGTGCCTGTCACAAAGCAGCTGAACCAGCTTGCCATCCCAAGGTGAGCTGATCAAAGGTAGTTACAGTAAGCAGGAATTCGTTTTGCATCAGCGTGTCTTTTTGATTGTTAAAGCGCCAAGATAATGCTTAATATTTTTCAAAGTACATGCTCAGCACTTATGAAACCTAACCTTTCTAATCCCTGAATTTAGGAAAACAAAACCTGAAGTACATCCTTCTGTGTTACTGTTGAAAATCTGGCCGTTGGTTTTAAATTGCCCCTGTGCTTCATTTTTAGGGCTAGTTATAGATTTGCTAAATATAGGCCACTGCAAAAGATTCTGGGAAGTCTCTGATAGTGACTTAATGGGAGGCTTGCATTGAAAAACTAGGTTGCTCAGGTAAGCTTCTCAGATAAGCGGATAGATAGATTGCTTCAGGCAGCCAGGTTTGAAAAGTTTGCCCTACTTCTCTGTTTTGGAAACACCGGCATAGAAATGATCTGTATAAGGTAGATGAAAGCATCACTGCTTCAGAGATGTATACTGTTCAATATGCAAACTGATGGTGTGGTTGTTACAAGGATTTCATTTAAATATCTGATGGTGGCAATGGGACCGTCATTTTCTCAAACAGTGGCCAGGTGCTGCCCTTGATTATTGCTGCTGGCGGGAATAATTGTGTCTAAAGGAGCAAATGAAGAAAGGTGGTCCTGCTTGCCAGACTGACTAGTTGCATATGGGGAAGCATCCTCTAAACCTCTCTTGCTTGCATTTAATTAGGTGATCAAGGAAGTTTGGCTTGTAAGTTGACTGTTCTGGAGGCTTTATTGCTGCCTGACTCTCAGGTACTGGCATAGAAATCACTACCTGGCCACCTGCATTACCTTACCAGAATCTTGTCCCAATGTTTAACAGCTACCTACTCTAATGCAAAGTAGCAGCCTTGAATAATAAAACACTAAAGCAGTATGATTATATGGGAAATGGTGTTACATGGAAAGGAAAGATGTGTATAATTGTGAACTCCTCTGTAAGAAAGCAAGTAAGATTAGTGACCAGAAAACAGAAAGCTCCCCTTATCATAATTTTTATGATCATAACTAAACTTATTGAAATTGCAGTAAAACGTGCTAAAATCATTTCCCTTTCATTACATCACCCCCCTCAGTCCCTCTTCCCTGTTGTAACAGTTACTTGCTCTCTCCTCTGGGCTACATGTTTTGTTTTGTTTTTTTTTCTTGAAAATTTTTAATTCAAGATGCATTTAAGATACTTAGGCCTAAAAATGTCATTAATGGTTCTACTTGTGTGAAAGAAAAAAGATATTTATATAAACTGAGGATGTTGGTGCATCTGCATGCCTCTTTTTGTTACTCGAAAGTTTTTGGTGGGCTTGTGCTTTATAGTTAACTTGTTCTGAAAAACTGAGCTGTTTCTGAAATTAAACTTTGGGGAGAGTCAGGAGAACTGATTAAAGCCTATCAAGTTTCTGTTGTAGCTTAAATTAAGCCAAGTTGATAATTGTGAAGCAAGATGAAAATTAAAGCAGTGACAATGAAACCTTATATTGAGCAGGGATGTTGGGGGAAAAGCCCAAACCTGATCAAATAATGAGAAGTTTGCTCTACACCAAGGAAGAATTACAAAAATTGCCCAAAACTTACAGCAAAGCAACTTTTGTGGAAACCAGGAGTAACATCCTGCATAGACTACTGCCAGGTAACCTGGCAGCCAATTAAACAGAGAGTTTGTGTGATTTGAATTTTGGACTCCAATTCTGCTCATTCTTTTAAGACCCCAGGCCCAGGAAAGGAATAGGGAATGAATGCTCCTATGTATATTCTTTCTGCTGGCTTGCTTCTCTTTCTTATTCCACAGCACAGAAATTAATTTATGAGGAAATCGAGGATGTGTTCGTGCAGGAAGACTCATAGGAGAAGGGGAACTAAGAGGGCTACCATTCACCATTACTAACGTGGAGGATGCTTATGTGCCACGCAACCTGATATTTCTTGCATCTGCAGAGACGAGGCAGAGTTATACTGCTGAACTACTGAGCTCCCTGGGGACAAATTGTCTGCAGAGATAAATTACTGTTCTAAACAGCAGTAAGAATTAGAATCAGCAGACTGTTGGTATAATGGGAACTCGGAGGGGTTTGTTTTTTTTTTTAGTCACAAATGGGTGGAAAAATGAAAAACAAACAAAATCACAAAATAGGACATTTGCACAAACACAGAAAATGAGCAAATGAGCACATGTACATTTTACCCCTTCTTCTCCCCGTATTCCCCGAGTGACTTGTGTGAAGGCATTTCCAGAGCTAGGCTTTGGAGTCTTTTTGGACTCTATTGTACATTAGTCTCTGCACCCATAAATTGACTCGAGGGTCATTCGGGGATAATTTAGCTTTAAATACAGGGTTGCACTAATATGTCTGTTGGCCCTCACTCATCCATTTGAATTGGCCAAAGTCCAGCTGGAAGAGACGAGAGGAGCTGTTTAAGGGACCCGTTCTTCATGACATTACATTATCATATCTCTTGTCTTGTAATTCCCAAAGAAAAGGCTAGAATGAGATCAGTGTAATGAAGCAGACTTCCTCCAGTGTAGGGAAGTAGATACTGGCTTTACATTAGAATGTTGCGTGCAGGGCAGAGTACAACCCAGACTTTGGCCCAAGGAAAATATAAATTCAAAGAAAATAGTAATTTTCATGAAAGTATTTCATGCTCATTCACACATAACACAGTCAAACTGTTGTGCCAGTTTCTGAGTCATTTAGAGGAAACATATACTTCAGTTTAAAGATACGAAGGAGAAAGTAATTTGCTAACTTTTGGATTATTTGCAGGGACAAGATAAGAAATAGTAAATTGTATTTTGACCCATAAATAACTCTAACTTTCAGATGTCTCTTGTACTTCCTGAATCTGTAAAAGAATTTCATTATGGGCAGAGG